AACTAGGCCCAACCCTGCTTAGCTTCTGAGATCAGACAGGATCGGGCTTGTTCAGGGTAGCATGGCTGTAGACTAAATAGTTCTAAGAGTTGTTTTTCCCCACCACAGTGTCTAGTTAATGACAAAGTTATCTTTTTTTTGGGGGGGGGGTGGTATATTAAGGGCTCTTAGTAACTCATCTAATACTCGCATTAACCCTATGAGTGCTATTATTAAGAATAGTAAAACAAACAATAAACTATTGCACTACTATTGTCATCAGTCACTATCATTCTGGTAATATTGCCAGAAACCCGAGTGGAGTGTATCTTAGGAACCTGAAAGTGTCAGATCACCTGAGGGGAAATTTTTCAATGTGTGATCTACACTTAATGCCTCCTATGACAAATGCCCCCTGAGTTTGATTATAGTAGGTCCTCAGTTAATGTCATAGATAGCTTCTGGGACTTTAAGTGAAACCATGAATAATAAACCAGTTTTACCATAGGCTAATTGATAAAAACAAGAGTTAAGTTCCTATAGTTATGACGAAATGATGTCGAATGAAATAATGTTATTCGAGTACCTGCTGTACATTGCCAAGGACTCACCTTACTGTAGCCTCACAGTGGTTACTGTAAATTAATTCTAAATATCAAAGGCAAAATGACCAAAGATTTGAATCCAAAGTAGCAAATAGAATATACTCTATATTCTCTTTTAAGTCCTTTGCTGAGTATAGAAGGAGATAATGAGCAAATTCCGGATAACTTGTTGCATATAGTAACTTAGTACAACTGAGGACTATTTCTTGAACTTGAAATTATGTATTGACCACTGTTTTATCCATCTGTGTTTTCTTATGGTCTCTTTAGAAAGTGTTTAGTCGTCAGCATCATCCTAGCAAGAAAAAGAGAGCAAGTGAATGAGCTATTACTTCTTACTGTGTATCAATGCTGTGCTAAGTGCTTCCCATAGAACCTATTTAGAACAACACTGTGAACTAGATACAATAATTCTGTTTTGTTTTTGTTTTTGTTTTTGTTTTCAGATGAGGAAACTAAGCAAAATTAAGTATCTTTGTGGCTTAGTTCAGGCTGCTATAACAAATGACCATAGACTGAGTGGCTTAAACACTAAAAATGTATTTCTCACAGTTCTGGAAGCATGAAGCCTGAGATCAGAGTGAGAACATGGTTAGATTCTGGTAAGAGCTGTTTCCCTGGTTTGCAGATGGTTGTTTTCCTGCTGTGTCCTTGTGTGGCACAGAGCAGGAGATGAAGCAAGCTGTCTTTTGTTTCTTCTTCCAAGGGCATCGATTCCCTTGTGAGGGCTCTAGCTCCATGACCCAAACCCTTCCCCAAAGGCCCATCTCCAAATACCATCATACGGGCCCTCAGAGTTTCAATATATGAATTTTGAGGAGACATAAACATTCAGTCCATAGCACTTGCCAAAAGCACCTACCTGAGATAAAAATATTTTATTTACAAATTCTTCAACACAACTGAAGTAAATGCAGATTTACTGTCATAAACTATATTGTCTGGCTATCTCTATATTGTAAGCAGTCACTACAAAGCTAAAACAAGGAGTGTTGCCTCTGAGCTGGTGATGACCTCAGTCTTCATTCTCCAAAGAACTGCAAATAATGGGCTTTCTTAACCAAAGCATGGGTTATTTCCTGTGGAAAAATGAATTATATGTAGAGAAGCATGTTCATTCTTATCAAAATATTTAATTTACTTCCATGTTTACACTGCTTCATATCTGCTAATCTTTTAAATTTCGGAACGCATCTAGGCTTCTCAACAAAGTTTTTTGGCTCGTAATTTTTGTCTATGCAAAACACGTGGCCATGGGAACCCTATGACTGCCTTTTGGACAACAGTGTGATTTTACTATAAAAGGCGTCTTTACGGGTACAGAACTGGGGATGGCCTGTAGATTTGATTTCTTCTCACAATTTTCCTTGATAGCCCCTCCACACCCAGCCATGAGTGTTCCTGTTTTCATTCCATGGGTTGTGAATTGCAGTCTCTCTCAAATTTCTTCTTTTCCTAGTATTTACATGTTATGACCTTGCTTTGAGAAGGGACTAGAATCTCTAGGGCTAGGTAGGTGAGGATGCCTGGCTGGGCAGAGTATGTGAGAGTAACATTTTGTCTTTTCTAACCAATAGGCGAAGTGTTGAGGAGGAAATGGAACTCTAGTAAAGAGAAAAAGGCACAGAAAAGTCAAGGGTAAACTGCAAGTGTTTTTTTGAGTCTCTCCACAGCTTTCATTTTATTCTATCCTTCCTCTTTTGGCATTTTTCTTTCTTCCTGGCCTGCCCATTCTTTTTGGGATTCCTTTTCTAGGGCAACGGTTCTCAAACTTTCGCATGCATCAAATTACTTGGAGGGCTTGTTACAATACAGAGCCTCCCTCCAAGAGTTTTAATTCAGTAGGTCTGGGGTGGGATTCAATGATTTGCATTACAACAAATTCCTGGGTGAAGCCGATAATGCTGGTCAAGGGCCACACTTTGAGGACCACTGGTCTAGACATTCTACTTTATCAGCTTAATATTTTCATTCATTTGTTCATTCAATCATTCATTCATTCAATACTTATTGAGACATTACTGAGCCAAGCGGTGCCTCAGACACTGAATACCCCCCACAGAACCCAGCTTTAGTGAATGGCATTTTAGTGGGTCTTTAATAAATGCTAAGTGGCTGTGCAACCTACATTTTCCTGAGTTTCACCAGCCTATGGGTACCAAGCACGCTTTAGTGGGAGTGACTCAGATTTTGCTGACTCTTACTCTCTTCTGCATAAAACAAGACCTCCAGCACCTCTCAAAAGCATTCAGTTATGTCACAGGGATGCCAGGGCTTGTCACTCATGTGCTATAACCCAGTCATTTCTGGTAGCCACACACTAGCCTCTCTCATAGATGTTTTCCATCTGTGCAGAAACTTAAAGGTAATTCACTGCTGAGCCCACTGCTGCTGCTGCTGCTTCCATGAGGTCCATGCCAGGAGTGCTACCCACCAGTGCTTCCAAAATGGCCAACACCTGGAATTGGTGGGGTGAATGGGATGCTCCTTAACCCTACATCACATTTCCTTGCCTGGAAACCAAAGTGTACTGCTGGTGCCTCAGAATCTCACAGAATAATACATGCAAATATTTCCATCAGTATTTGCCTGTACTTCTTTCCCTGGGGCTCGAAACTATAGGGCTGGGGAAGTGGTGATGGGTGGATGGGCAGGGTATATGATATTAACAGTCTGTCTTTTCTAGTCCAGGTTCTCTGCCAACATGCATGTGTAGTTTCCCCATGCCAACTGATATGCCACACATGTCTGAATCACAGTGGGAGACACAACTGAGTTTCAAAACTACTAGATACGAATGAAAAAAGGAGCCCAAATTTCTCCTGCACTTTTAAGGTGTTTATTTATAACCTCCATGCGTTTTTAATGTGCCAGATTTAGTCTAGTGAAACCAGGGAACTTCCTTCCTTTAAATGTACTCTGCAGCTTACTTCTTTTACACAAACTATGCCTTAGGTGAGGAGAAAAGAGATAATTTGTAGCACTGCACTAGTTTCCTGCAAGGAGCCAAAGAATCGAGGCAGCTTTATCCAATCTTTATCCAGTCTTTACAGAGGCTGAAAACCACCGCTGCTTTGGTCGTTCTATCCTAAGCCAAGAATGGCCTAGGTCCAGGTGTCTGTGCTGGCTTCTGTGTGTGTGGCTAGAGAGTAGGAGTGGGAGGCAGAGTTTTGAGCCTTCAGCACCCACGACTGAAATAAAGTTTAGTTGTCTATAGGTTGTCCAGGGGCTTTTAGAAGGATAGAAACCCGCTGCCTGATAGTTCAAATTGCAATTCCGTCACCACCATCTCATTTAATCATTGCAAGAGACTGATGGGGTAAGTGGTATTATTATTCTTAGAGATGGACACTGAGAAATAGAGAGGTCGGGTTACTTGCCACAAGGGACCACAGCTAGAGAGTGAAGGAAGAAAACTCCAAGCCAAGGCTTTCTCCCTCTGGAGCCCCTTCTCTACATACACATCATACCCTTTGGCCTCCACTAATCCCTCTCGTGGCTTTAAGGGGAGGCAATGTATTAGTCTTATAATAAAGAGACATTCTTTTGGGGGAGAGGGAGCTATCAACCAAATTTACTAACTCACAGAACTCTTATCTACTTCCTAGGCATTTCTTTACTAAAAAAGTTGTTTTAGAAACAGCCAGCAGAGGCCTCTGCTTTTTATAACCTGGGTTCTGCCAAAGACTTAATTTTTAAAGAGTCAGGAGAGCTATTATTCTCAATATGTGAAAATAATAAGATAGTTATAATAAAACAGCTCTGTCACAGTTTCCTTTCAAGAAGTTAACATTTACTATCTAGAAAATAAATAACGCCATGCATATGGAAGTGTGCTGTAAGAGTTTTGGAGCACAAAGAAAATTACTTTGAGGTTAGTGTTCTTACAACATTTAGCCAAAATCTGCAGGTACTCCTAGGCCACAGTCAGCACTGGAATTATTCCTTCTCTTTCCTTCTTGCGACAGAACTGTTAAAGAGGAAGAAAGGTCCGAATTTAAGAGTGCTAAAATAGGAGTTCTATTTTAATTTTTGGCATTTTATCACTTGGAAGTTTATTCTTTCCTTCTTTATATATTTCAATGCCTTAATCTTTTTTGCTTTGTAAAATGTGTTTTAAGGATTGTATACTATACTCTAATCTCTTACCCACCCCCCGGTATCACAAACGTTTTTCCTGTGGGGAAAACAATCCTGTTCCCTTCCTGCCTTCTGATTCTATTTGCCATCGAAGCAAAAGGAATATGCCTAAGTGAGGCCCGGAGGTCATCAACCTCTGCCTTTGTGCCAGGACATGCAAACTACCTAAGCCAATTACTAACCGGTTTTTTAAAAAACCTCCAATCAGAGAGAACCCACGACTTCTTTTT